AGTGTAACTTGTCTGTCAACTATTCCTCTATGTAAGGGGCTTTTCCCCGAAAGGGATTAGCCCAGACAAAAGGCACCAACTGATGAGGCTGTAATATTATTTGTATAACATATAACTACCATATGCTTATATGTATATACACAATACATATATACATATATATATGTATACATATGTATATATATATACATATATATATATATATATATATATCACGTGGAGTGGTGATTTGAGGTGCTCTGCGCCGCTCACAAAGTCCATGATTCAGTCTCGTGCTCATGCTTCACCAAGCTCTACATCCCTCCGGAGTCGATGAATTTGTAACAGACTGCCCTCAGACTTGTCTGGGAGGATAAGCAGCACTGACTCGGTACAGTGGAATGCCAAAGCGGGTCATTGTAAATGCCAGATACGCAGGCAACCACTTCAAACGTAGTTTAAATTGAAAACGAATGCATGGCGCTGATCCGTCGTGGATTGACAAGCGCCGAGAGCTCTATCCTTTATCCTTGTGGATATACATGTGCATAGATACATATATATGTATATGTATCACCTGTCGTCCCGTTGATCGTCGAGTGCCTCGAGCTGGTCCCAGCAACACTTCCACTTTTCCCTATCGCGTGAAAGAGTAGCCAAGTGGGTCCTCCTCGCTCTAGGGATTCGCTGGGCATCATATCTTCCTTCTATCGCTTTCGTGAAGAAATCGGACCAACTGGTCAGTGGTCTTCCTTTGGAGCGCTTGACGTCTCGAGGAATCCAGTGGGTAAAGGCTCTCGTCCATCGGTTGTCGTTGAAGCGCATCACGTGTCCGGCCCACCTTATTTTCGATATCCTGGCGTGTGAAACTACGTCTCTAATCTTCGGTCGTTGACGTTAGTCGGAATTTCGGATCCCTTCTCTCATGTGCGAGATACGGGATACTCCTAGCATCGACCTTTCGACTGCGCGTTCGATAACGGCAAGTGATCTTTCATCCTGCCTACGTAGCGACCAGGTTTCTGCGGCATACGTAGGGGCAGGGATAATTGTCGAGTCGAAAAGGTGGGCACGGTGTCGTATGTTCTTTGTCCTCTTCACTACATCTTCGATGCGTTTGAACGTTCCTCAAGCCGCTCGTTTCCTCCTGCTCTACTCTGGAGCTAGGTCGTTCATTATGTTGATTTCCCGACCTAGATAGACGTAACTGGAGCATTCGGAGATTGTCGTTCCGTTGAGCGTGAATGGGACATTAGAAACCCATCCGTTCCTCATGAACATTGTCTTCGTTTGATTCAGTTGAAGACCAATATTTCCACAGGCGTTGTCCAAATCGGTCAACATTCGTTCCGCTTGGCTGATGTTTGGTGTTATGAGAACGATATCGTCAGCAAAGCGAAGATGGTTTAATTGTCGACCGTCAATTTTCACTCCCATTTCGTCCCATTCTAATGTTCGCATGACGTTTTGTAGGGTGGCAGTGAATAGTTTTGGCGAAATTGTATCGCCTTGTCGGACCCCTCTTCTTACGTCAATGGTAATATTGTTGTAGAATGGAGATATTTTGGTCGTGAATCTTTATAAAGCTCACGAAGGATCATTATGTACCGAGTAGGGACTCCCTGGTTATCCAGAGCCTCTATAACCGCTTCTGTTTCCACTGAATCAAAGGCTTTCTTTAGATCGATGAAAGTGAGACAGAGTGGTTGTTTGTACTCTCGTGGAACTTCAATGAGCCTTGTAATCGTGTGGATGTGGTCCATAGTACTAAATCCTTTTCGGAACCCTGCTTGTTCGCATGGCTGTCCTTCGTCCAGTGTTCTGTCAATCCTGTTTAGGATGACTGAAGTAAGGAGTCTATAGACAACGGACAGCAAGCAGATTGGGCGATAATTGCCTATGTCGTGAAGGTCTCCCTTTTTGAACAACAATACGGTCTTGCTGGTTTTCCATTGAATAGGGACCTTGCATTCCGACAAGTAGCGAGTGAAGAGCCGAGCCAGGGTGCCGATGAGAACTGGCGGCAGATTCTTCAGATGTTCTGATCTAATCCTGTCTGGACCGGGTGTTGTTCTGTTCTTCACCGACGATATAGCATGTCGGATTTCGGAAGGGAGGACCGGTGGGACGACATATTTGTCCTTTTTCAATTTATATGACGGTAAGAGGACATGGCTAGCGAAGAGATCCGAGTAGTACTGGTGGATGATTTTCTCCATAGCCCTTCTGGAAGCTGTCAGTGTCCCGTCAGGGTATCGGAGTGCAATCATCTTGCTCTTATAGTTGGCAAAGCCTCGCTAGGCTTTGCGATTGCTCTTCCCAGCTTTTGCAGCTTCTGCCATAACTGCTACTCTTCCCTCTTTAAGGTCCTCTTTTATCGCTTCTCTGCAGGTTTTCGCAAGTTCGGACGTTAAGATTCGGTTGCCTGTAGCTCGTGCGTTTCCACGTTGACGTATCAGCTCGAGTGTCTACGAAGACAAGCGTCTCTTCGTGACCTTAGAACTCTCAGCTTTCATAGCGCTAACGCGAAGATATCAACCAGTCGATCGTATTTTTCGTCGATGTTGTCGACAACGGTATCTTCCCAAGAGCCGACTAATGATTTGAATACATCCCAGTTTATGGTAGTTCTGGGACTTCGTTGTTTGAATTTAGCGGCTTTCTCTCCTCTCTTCGAAAATCGGGATGTTGCGCGAAGGAGGCAATGGTCTGATATATATATATATATATATATATATATATATATATATATATATCATGTGGAGTGGTGATTTGAGGTGCTCTGCGGCGCACACAAAGTCCATGGTTCAGTCTCGTGCTCATGGTTCACCAAGCTATTCATCCCTCCGGAGTCGATGAATTTGTAACAGACTGCCATCAGACTTGTTTGGGAGGATAAGCGGCACTGACTCGGTACAGTGGAATGCCAGAGCGAGTCATTGTAGCCGTCAGATACGCATGCAACCACCTCAAACGGAGTTTAAATTGAAAACGAATGCGTGGCGCTCATCCATCGTGAATTGTACAAGCGCCGAGAGCTCTATCCTTTATCCTTATGGATATAAATGTGCATAGATACATATATATGTATATGTATACATGCATATATATATATTTGACATTATGGTTCTAATTTTGCTAAAGAACAGGGGAGTGCCTGTATGATCATCAAACCTGAAGGATGCACTTTGTATTTGACTCCACTGATTTCACACAGAACACTAGTTGCATATATAGATCATACAATGAGTTGCGATGGTCTGCGTTACGTCAAAACATGTTTTCGTGCAGGCAAGTCTAATGTCAACCCTGGAAATATGTAGATCTAAAAAGTATTATGACCGGAGGGAAAACAAGAATTTTCGCGTAGAAAAGCACCTCTAATCACTGCGTTATGGATATCGTAGTGATTTTCAAGTTGATTGTCGATTTTGTGGAATAGGGTTTATAAAGAAAAAAGTGTAACTCTAAGTTTGTCACAGGTCTCCATGTAGAAGATGCATGAAAATGCCAGGTCTTGTCAACTGTTAAACGTCGTTAGATATTACAGCACAAAATATTGCGCAAAAGAGTTTTGAAATAGGAGTTAGATGTTTTTGCAAATATAGATCTTTTAATCATTTTCAAAGATAAGAAATTTTTTGTTTGTTTTGGTAAATTGATAAGCACACATTCTGATGTCACAACAGATAAAGGTATCTCTGAGTCCAGTGTCAAAAGTGACCGATGTTTTGCAGCAGGATAAATAGGTGTGCTCACAAAAAAACTTGCTCGTTAGTGATTAGTAGTCGCAAACTTTTAGATCACAATCCATAATTTTGAGAAAATTTTACCAACGTTCGCCATCGTCGGAGTAATCGGTGATGAGGAATTTTTCGGGTGATCAACATTTCTTCACTTCAGTGTGTGATAAAGTCAATTCAATGGGTGATGAATCAGTGCAGTACAGCGTAGATTCATGAGGCAGCAGAGATGCGATATGAAATTTGATTTTATATGTTTCATAAACCTCTTTTATCAGTTTTAAACGCAGCTGCAACATTCTAATGAAACACCTATCCTTTATGATTAAATGAACAAAGGAAAACTCTTCTGACGTCGATCAATCTGCCAGCCCCACGCTATACATTTATACCACTCGAAACGTCGTTGAGGCGTTTAAATAGATATTTTGCCTATATTCTTGCATTTCTGGTGATTAATGAGAGCGGTTTTCTCGTAGTTCAGCAAAGACTTATTTGCCATCCTCATCATTATGACCGGAGTCTTCTAAAACCCACAGCCTCAATCGAATAAAAGAGCTACGTGCTTCTGAAGAACGTGTAAGATAGGTACAGTCTTTTTCAATCCTCCAATACGAGTAGAATCCACTGCTTTACCTTGTTGGCGAGGATGTACGACGGCAACACAGACCATTCGCGTGTTGCCAAAGAATGGAAAAGATTAAAGATGGATTACCTGTGTTGCTAGACAATAGATGGGCAAGCAGGTATCTTACCTCACAAGGCGTCATTGGTGTTGGGTGCCCCGCTTTTCTCCCAGTGAGCTGGTTTCGATAGATTAACCTGTTCGAACTGCAGTGAGAACTTCGTCGAAGTTCCAATTTTTTCCTCAAGCGAATAGTTTTTAGATATACAAATAGTAAAGCTAAAAAAGTATGGGTAGATAATTACCGGAGAAGTGTTGCATCTCGGTCTTTAGTTCGAAAACAGGTGAGTCCTCTACAATTTTCTTGACATCCATTGGAAGAAATTATCGAAAGAGAGAATCTCTTATTTTTTGCAGCATTTTTTTGGAGAGAATAAAGACAATATTTATCATAACATATTAGACTCAGCCGAAAAAGTAGAGCATTAAGATGTGCCAAATTTCAAGTGTTATTCCATTCTCTTCTACGCTGTCCGTCATCACCTTTTTCTATGAGGATACCAGCACTCAGAACACTTTTTATTTAACCCCTTTTTGTAGAGATATGATGCTATAATATATCCTGTGGTGAAGGGCGATATGCAAAAGCTTTTTGTCTCAGTTGGGATTCGAACCCATATTTCACCCTATCCAGGGCGCGTGATGAACCATTACACCATCGACGCCCGTTTTTGACACTACTCCTTCTACGCCACAACGCGTCTATCTGTAAATGGCCAACCATCAACGGTCTGGTATGGGTGGTCGCTATCGACACTGAACCCAGTTTTTACCTGTATCACTTGTCGTCCCGTTGATCGTCGAGTGCCTCGAGCGGGTCCCAGCAGCACTTCCACATTTCTCTATCGCGTGAAAGAGTAGCCCAGTGGGTCCTCTTCGCTCTAGGGATTCGCTGAGCATCAAAACTTTCTTCTATAGCTTTTGTGAACAATTCCAACCAACGGGTCGTTGGTCTTGCTGTAGAGCACTTGATGTCCCGAGGAATCCAGTCGGTAACCGCTCTCGTGCATCGGTTGTCGTTGAAACACATCACGTGTCCGGCCCACCTTATTTTCGATATCCTGGAGTGTAGAGCGGCGTTTCCGATTTTCGATCGTTGACGTAGCTCGGAATTTCGGATCCTTTGTCTCATTTGCGAGATACGGGATACTCCTAGCATCGACCTTTCGACTGCGCTTTCAATAACGCTAAGTGATTTTTCATCCCGCTTACGTAGCGACCAGGTTTCTGCTGCATACGTTAGGGCAGGGATAATCGTCAAGTCGAAAAGGTGGGCACGGAGTCTGATGTTCTTTGCCTTCTTCACTACACCTTTGATGCTCTTGAAAGTTCTAGAAGCCTCTCGTTTCCTCCTGCTCAACTCTGAAGCTAGGTCGTTCATCATGTTGATTTTACAACCTAGATAGACGTAACTGGAGCATTCGGAGATTGTCGTTCCGTTGAGCATGAATGGGACATTAGAAACCCATCCGTTCCTCATGAACATTGTCTTCGTTTGATTCAGTTGAAGACCAATCTTTCCACAGGCGTTGTCGAAATCGGTCAACATTTGTTCCGCTTGGCTGATGTTTGGTGTTATGAGAACGATATCGTCAGCAAAGCGAAGATGGTTGATTGTCGACCGTCAATTTTCACTCCCATATCGTCCCATTCTAAGAGCGCATGTGGCTCAGTGGTTAGAGGTGCTCTGCGTCGCACACGAAGTCAATGGTTCGATCTCGCGCTCTTGGCTCACCAAGCCATCCATCCCTCCGGGGTCGGTAAATTGGTACCAGGCAGGTCTCAGACTTGTCTGGGAGGATAGGCAACACTGACTCGAATCAGCGGGAGGGCACCACGAGTCATTGTAAGGGCCGGATATGCATTCAATCACCTCAAACGAAGTCAAAAATTGAAGTCGAATGCATGGCGCATCCCTCAGGTATTGGTCAACGCCGAGAGCTTTATCCTTTATCCTTTATCGTCCTATTCTAATGTTCGCACGACGCTTCGTAGGGTGGCAGTGAATAGTTTTGGCGAAACTGTATCGCCTTTTCGAACCCCTCTTCTTAAGTCAAGGGTAATATTGTTGTAGAATGAAGATAATTTGGTCGTCAAATTTTTATGAAGCTCACGAAACCCTGGTTATCCAGGGCCTCTATAACCGCTTCTGTTTCCACTAAATCAAAGCCTTTTTTCGGATCGACGAAAGTGAGGCACAGTGGTTGTTTGTACACTCGTGAAACTTCATTGAGTCTTGCAATCGTGTGGATGTGGTCTATGGTACCAAATCCTTTTCGGAATCCTGCTTGTTCTCATGGCTGTTCTTCGTCCAGTGTTCTGTCGATCCTGTTTAGGATGAATCGAGTAAAGAGTTTATAGACAACGGACAGCAAGCAGATTGGGCGATAATTACCTACGTCGTGAAGGTCTCCCTTTTTGAACAACATTACTGTCTTGATCGTTTTCCATTGAATAGGGACCTTGCATTCCGACAAGTAGCGAGTGAAGAGCCGAGCCAGGGTGTTGATGAGATATTGCGGCAGGTTATTCAGGTAATCTGGCCTAATCCTGTCGGGACCAGATGTTGTTCTGTTCTTCACCGACGAATTAGCATGTCGAATTTTGGAAGGGAGGACCGGTGGAACGACATATTCATACTCTTTCAATTTATGTGAGGGTAAGAGGACATATTTAACGAAGAGATCCGAGTAGCACTGGTGGATGATTTTCTCCATAGCCTTCTGGAAGCTGTGAGTGTCCCGTCAGGACATCGGACTGCAGTCATCTTGGTCTTATATTTAGCGAAGCTTCGCTGGGCTTTGCGAATGCTCTTCCCAGTTTCTACACCTTCTGCCATAACTGCTACTCGTCTGTCTTTAAGGTCTTCTTTTCTTTTATCGCTTCTCTGCAGCGTTTTGCAAGTTCGGACGTAAGGTTCTGGTTGCCTGCAGCTCGTGCGATTCCACGTTAACGTAACAGCTCGAGTGTCTGCGGAGACAAGCGTCTCTTCGTGACCTTACGGACTCTCGGCTTTCATAGCGCTAACGTGATGATATTCAACGAGCCGATTGTATTCTTCATCGATGTTGTCGACAACTTTATCTTCCCCAGGAGCCGACTAATGATTTGAATACATCCCAGTTTATGGGAGTTCTGGGACTTCGTTGTTTGAATTCACCGGTTTTCTCTCCTCTCCGTGAAAAACGAAACATTGCGCGAAGGAAAAGATGGTTTAATTCCGTGTAAAACTTAGGAACAACAGCGACATCGGTTAGGCAAAACCTTCGACTTACTATGATGTGATCTATTTCGTTATGGTACTCTCCATAAAGAGGCTTTTGGAATTGTGAGTTACCATGGATGGTTAGGGTCGTCATGATAAGTCAGATAGCCTCTCATCCTGTTCATTCCATACTAGTCGTGGGTCCCAATGTGACGGTTTTTAGGAGTTCTTCTAGGTCCAATTTTGCATTAAAATCTCCGAAAATGATCTTGAAGAATGTATAATCTTCTGCGAAGAAATGGAGGTCTATATAAAACGCTTCAACTTCGTCTTCGCCATAGCTTGATGTTGGTGCGTAAGCAACGAAGGTGGTCAAAGCCGACTAGAACCACGTCGTTCCAACCGTAATAGTCCAGTATAGGTTGTTATCTGTCTAAACGGATAAAACACAATCAAATTCGATTTGACGAGGACGCCAACGCCGCCGACGCCTCTGCTGTCGCATGTTCCAAGGGACAGTTCTTCTCCGGTGTCATAAACAGCGTGAAAAGAATGGTGCCTTCTCGTCTCAGCCAGGCAAATGACGTCGTACATTATCCTTCTTGCTTGAACCACTAGGTCACCTACAGCGGATTCATGAGCAAGAATTCTTACATTATAGGTACAGGTATTATTTTAAAAGATTGTGATCTTGGTAGCCTAGTTTGGTCCTGAGATTTTAGCAGCCTCTCCGTACTCGTCCTACCTGGCGCTGCAGCAACAAGGGCTCCTTCGTGATCAAAAAAATGAGGTCCATGTTTGCTACTGTTTTTAGCATTTTATAACCAACGTTTAGCTTGCTAGACTCTAAACGTGGGGGCTGGGAATATACGAGTATCTTGCCAGTGTTCCTCGGAGGAGCGGAAGGAGCTCATTTGTTGGAGGCGATTCTTACCGCCTCCCATGTATTTCCCAGCCGCTTGATTCCAGGCTTTTGGATGACTTGACTCGTAGAAATAGAGTTTTTTGTCAAGCCGGCGCTAGCAGAAGCAGGGGTGCTCTCCCCTGAATCCACCTGCGTCTCTGGGAAGCACACGGTCGCTTTTGGTTCGCGTTCAACTCCCTATCCACCACCTGGGGACGCGCCACGTGCCTTCGCGACTAACCGGGCGGGATCTCTCAAAGAGGGACGTCCGTGGCATCACTCTATACACTGGGTATATATTCATGATATCGTGCCACCACAAAAAAAACGGTTAAATAGAAAACAATTTCAATTGATCCATAGTACCCAATATTTGTCAGCGTGACTCGGTTCAATGGCGAGACCGACTACCCGGGCCAGGCCGTTGACGGCTGACGACTGATAGATAGATGCGCTGTAACATAGAAAGAGCGATGTGCAAAATGGGCGTCAGTAGTGTAACGGTTAGAGCACGCATTCCCGGAAAGAGTGAGATGCAGGTTCTAGTCTCCCTGGCGCTAATGTTTGCATATCACTCAATACCACTGGGTATATTTTGTACAATATTTTCAACAGAAAGAAATTCCATATGCTAGGTAATAAGGTTAAGGCCATAATAATAAAATAATAAGTGATTAGAAATAATAATATTTATGACATAGTAACCGATTACGGCACGTTTCAGAGACTTCAAGATTTCTGCATTTTAGTCGTTTGGAAAACCATTCAGCCACCTACCTTGTTCCTAAACAAGCAGCTCATTTTCAATGTTTTGATGTAGAAAAATGTTTTAATGAAAGAGAAAAAAAGCCTGAAGGCGAAAACATGACCAGAAATAATCTACTGAGTAGGAAAAGCTCAACCGTTTTCCTCAGCGTGTTGAGCGACGTCGCTCGTCAGTGAGTGGTGAGCAATGGGCATTACTCACAGCTCACTCCATGAGCACTATTATTGCTATTATTTAAAAAATGTAGAGTCATAGTTGTACACCTAATGTTTGGATAGTTGCAGGTGTGGTCACGAGTAGGAATGAAACGATTGACTCGATACATGTATGTGGGAGACTCCACAAGGAAGTCAAAGCGATGCTTATGAGCTCAGGTTTTATTTCAATGCGCAATTCAATTGCGCTCCGATGCTCGTTGATCCCGAAACGTTTATTCGGCCGCGGTCATGAAAGCGAGGGCTGTGAGTAGCGCCCATTGCTCATGGAGTGGGAACCACCCACTAACGGGCGACGTCGCTCAACTCGCTCAGGAAAACGGTGAGTTTTCTCTACTCAGTGGATTATTTTTAGTTTTGTTCTCGCCTTCAGATTTTTTCCTTTTTCATTAAAACCTTTTTTTACATTAGAACATTGTGAATGAGCTGTTTGTGTAGGAACCAGATAGGTGGTCTGAAAGGTTTTCCCACCGACTAAAATGCAGAAGTCTTGAAGTCTCTGAAACGTGCAGTTCATCCATTATTAAGCCAAACGCGAGACATGAAACGTTTAGAAACTATGTACAATTGGTTACTATGTCATATTATATTATTATTTATATTCACTTATTATTTTATTATTATGGCCTTATTTACATGTCTGATACTTTTCCAATTTCTGTCACTTTTGAGTAGTTTTTGCCAAATCAATGATTATGTCGACCTTTATCTTGACTCTCTAAAAAACTTTTTATTTCAGCGAGAAAGTTTTTAGCAAAAGTCGTGTATCTTTCGAAATGCATGCGGCCCCAAAGAGTTAACCTGTATTAGGACGGCGTGTACCTGTGCTTGTATAAGAATGCTTGAAGACCCGAAAATTCTAGTTTTTTTAGTGCTTTTTTCAGAGTATCATGTTGTTTCATATATACCTAAGACTACTGAGTAGTGAGCAAAGACAAGACCTCAGACGGGAGTCGAATCCCGCGTTTCATCCATACCGAGGACATGTGCTACCACTGCACCACCGAGGTACATTGGGGGCACAACCCACTCTTCAATATCTCTATGATAGCTGTCGATCACCAATTTTTGAAAGGTTTGGTGAGGTATGCGATTTCGCTTCATAAACATAGTTAAGCTGACTATCAAACGCGGGTTCGACTCTCGTCTGAAATCTTATTTTTGCTCACCATTTAATTCTTTTAGGAATATACGAAACAACATAACACCGTGAAAAAGGCAGGAAAAAACTAGAAATTTCGAGTATTAGTTGTTACAGTGGCTGTCAGCTCAACTGGGTTTATGAAGCGAAATCGCATACTCGACCAAACCTGTTAAAGATTGGTAGTTTACAGCTATTACAGAGATATTGGGAATGAGTGCTTATGCGAATGTACCTCGATAGTGTAGTGGTAGCACGCCCCCGGTACGGATGAAACACGGGTTCGACCCCCGCTAAGGTTGTGTTTTTGCTCACCACTCGAATATCTCATGCCTGAAGACCTTTCTCGCTGAAAAAAAAATTCTTCCACTCTCTAGTAATTATTCGAAAGCTCAAATTTCGACAATTTCAATGATATGCTAAAGGATAAAGCTCTCGCCGTTGATCCATTCAATATAGCTATTCGTCCTTGATTTCTGACTTCGTTTGAGGTGATTGCATATCTTACCTCTACAACGAGTCGCAGTGCCTCCTGCTGTACCGAGTCAGTGCTGCTTATCTTCCCAGACAAGTCTGAGACCAGTCTGGTACCAATATTCCGTCTCCGGAGGGATGGATTGATTGGTGAACCATGAGCGCGAGATCAAACCATCAAAAAACCTATTGTTTTTTGTAGCCAATCACTACTTGATAATTTTTGATTTTGATGGTGAGCTTGACGTGTGTAAAGATTTCATTGCATGCTCTACTAATAAACAAAAGGGAACATTTTGCAAACGCTATGCATTTTTCCCGACTCCACAGCAAGTTTTTTAGGATTATGTAGTAATATCTACATACCTATCTCTTTGAGGGATCCCGCCCGGTTAATCGCGAATGGCACGTGGCGCGTCCCCAAGTGGTGGTTAGGGGAATAAACGCGAACCAAAAGCGACCTTGTGCTTTCCAGAGACGCAGGTGGATTCAGGGGATGAGAATCCTGCTTCTGCAGCGCCGACTTGACAAAACTCTATTTCTATGAGGCAAGTCGGCCAAAAGCCTGCAATGAAGCCGCTGGGAAGTTCATGGGAGGTGGTTAGGAGGCGCCTCTAACAAATAAGCTCCTCCCGCTCCTCCGAGGAACACTGGCAAGCTACCGTGAGTGCCCAGCCCTCACGTTTGGAGTCGAGCAAGCAAATCTTTGGGTATAAAATGCTAAAAACAGTAGAAAATGTGGACCTCATTTCCCTAACCCATTCTCTAACCGGGCGGGATCCCTCAAAGAGGGAGGTACGTAGATATTACTACATAATTTTGAAAAATTCGCTTTGGATTGGGAAAAATGTACCGCGTTTGCAGTGTTACCTTTCGTTTATTGGTAGAGCATGCAAAGAAATCTTTACACACGTCAAGCTCACTATCAAAATCAAAAGTTTTCAAGTAGTGATTGACTACAAAACAGTGACAGTATAAGAGAATGTTTAATAACAGATGGAAATATATTCTTTTTCGCAAGGATGTGGTTTTTTCTTCTGAAAAAGACTGAACTTTGGGAAGCATTAATGTTGATATTGCTAAAATTATTCAAACATGAGGCTCAGCAGTGGTGTTTTTTTCAATGATAATGTCCTTCTGAGAACATAATTATTTCTAATTTCTATTGGAGTTATCTAGCAACCAATCTTCGTAACCGTCCAAAAGGCGCGCTCAGCTGAGGGTCATTATGGCCCTTATCGTCAGCAAAGGGTTCAAGCAATATAAGCCAGCTCATATCGAAAAGTACTGATTGAAGTAAGGACGAAAGCTTCTCATTTTCGCATTTTTCTTATTCCAAACACTAGAAAATTTCTTTACCTAAAGAATACCATCGAGAACTACGATAATTAAAATCCCGTTTTCGTCTCCAATTGTTTGAGAGTTCTGTTTCAAGCTAACTTTTAAAGACGACACAAGGTGTTTTTTCTGTAGGGATAAATTTCTGGAGCGCTCTGAATATTTAGGGATGAATGAATAATTCTCGTGTTCTAGAAATCATTTCATGTCAACATATGGTCATTCTATATTTGCTTGTTTTAAAAACCTCAAGCGAGCGACTAATATTTTTCACGCACTCACAACAACAGTGAAGGATTTGATGGATTCATTTTCTTTTCAGCAGATATTACATATCGCTGGCATAACCAATGGCAAACACAACGAGATTAGCGAGTGTCTACATCAACAACAAAGTCCCACGATCATAAGACAAATGCAACATTAAGTGACGAGGTGCAATGAATGCCTCCATTATACAACCAATACATAATGTATTGTGAGGAGAGAGACCAGTTTTTAACTATTACGTGAAGTAAAGCTCAACAACTGAATCCTACTTCAGTGAATCAAGGAGAAATGAGGAAAGTGCAACTCAACTACTGCGATACGTTGACTTTCAGGATCCATAGCGTGAGCACAGCGGAAAATAGACAGATAAGTACAATAGATGCTAGACCAAAAACAAATAAGGAATCAACAAAATTATCAGCATTAGTGAAACAATAGCACATTGCCAAATTTAGCAAACTGACAATTATACGAAGTTTTTATCATTATACGAATCTATATTATATATATATATATATATATATAATATATATATATTACAATTATATGAACCTATATATATATATATATATATATCCATTCAATAAGGCCTACTTAAATATGTCATGTACCAATTGCAAACTTCAAAGTGGTTACTTTTCTGCATTATATGAATTGCAATCGACGGTTCTGCTCTGAAGTTCTCGTAGTCACTACGATAGATAAAATTTCACACTTATGATGATCTTCTCCTTAGTCTGTTTTCAAAGAAGAGCTGCGATTATTGGCTGGTGGGACTCCTTCTCGCTACAACAAATGGGTACCATGAATTATAGCGAGTGCCACGTGCGAATGAAGAAACTGGATCTGAAATTAGGTTTCTGTTGTAGGTGATATCAAGCATTCCAAACCATTACATCTGACATTGAAGAGTCTTATACGACAAAATGCTATAAGAAGTGGTGTGTGTGTGTATGTGTGTGTGTGTGATAATTGAAAGAAATAAATATAAATCATCACATAGTTCTATTTCGACGCATTTTCACGTCCGCCATGTTTTTGCAGTTCCTCATGCAATGCTTTCTTCGAAGCACCTGACTCATGAGAATTTTTACTCTCTTTTTGCTGTGCCTACGCAATGTTTATGCCGCTCCATTAGTTGCTGGTGTCAAATTGCCTCAAAATTTCTTGAAGCACGTAGCTGTCGGCTCTACGAGAAATAAAAGTCATGTCACGGTGGCTCTGATCAGAATAAAAGGCAGTCGTTCCAAACAGGACTTTAACATTGAAGTAATGAGCAACAAAGTTGCGAGCCAATATGATGAAATTCACAATTAAAATTCCCCAAAGATTTCGTTTATGTGGAATAAATATTGTATAACACCCACGCGTAACGAGAACAAGACTATCGCGAAACAAAAATGAATGAACTAGGTGTAATCGAACAGGAAAATTTTCTTTTTTTCTTTCCTTTGCTACGTTCGTATATCCAGTCACGTGCATCATCTCGCATCAAATATATATATATATATACTTAACACGTTTTTGCCAAAACATTGAGGACCAGAAAAAATCCATTCGCATATACCATAAGTTTCCAAAATCAGGCGAAATTTCAAGAGGCATTTTGACGGTTTTATAAGTGGTCCGTAGTTCAGAAGTGGAAACACTTTGACGACAGCTGAGGGTGGGGTGCTTCAGCAAGAGTAGCGTATAGTAACTCTTTTAGCTTCTAGAACAATACTCTTCAACATAAAACCCTTCCAGGAGCGATCGTGCACCAGTTTTGGTATAATTGACAAACACACGAAATTACTTCTCGTCGAGCTCGCCTAAGTCAGAGGCTATGCTTATGTAATACCATATCTGATTATTCGGCTAATAGTTCGCCAAAAATTTTGCGTTTTCACTACTCATGCCAAAGTTTGAGGAGAGTTCGACTTTTTAATCAAGACTGAAGACTTGAAACTTGTGTCATGGGTTTGTAATGCTAGTGAGTAACATTTACGGAGTATTCAATTTGAAGCTGTTTCTATAATGAGAAAATAAGATTTCGCTTCAGATGAGCATCGATCAACTTAATTGCTACTCAAAAACTTAGATCTTCCCGGTGATAAGTTAACTTCTATTAGACCGAATGCACTTCACTGTAATACAATGCTTTTCCGTTCTCATGGCTAACTACCCACAATTTTGAACAAGTAACGTATTAATACTCTTTTTATTCAACGGCTGTGAAAATCCCATCACGCAAACATTCATTTTACAAAATGTGAGCTATTACCAGGCGACGAAGCCTAAATCGCACGATGTTCGCAATCACAGTGATCACGTGGACGAACAACGCATCACAACTTTGTCGTCGTCACTGCTGTTGCTGCCTTCATCATCACTGCCTCCATACGTAGCACAGAAATTTGCTTGAGTAATCCTAGTGATCATTTTGATTCTCCACAGTTGTCTTGGGTATGAAATGCACCACACTAGTGGTGCAGCGTAACTCTGATACCGATGACCACTATCGCCGAAACAATCAAAGATTGAGCATATCCTTTTGAGGGACTTTGTCTGTGTGAGAGCGTTAACTTTTTTCACATTGATTATTATTGCAAAGCAGCGATCATCCTACGATGTCCTCTTACTTAGAAGCGAGTCAGAGCCATTACGAGAAACAAACACTGGAACAAATAACTCATGTGGAATCTAATGACCTTAGTACTGCATCTAAGAAGACAGTAGCGACGACATGCTCGCTGTAAAAGTCTCATAACTATTTGATTCGAAAAGCTTCGTCATATCTAAGAAAAC